AATAATGACAAAAAAACAATAAAATAAATTACATATATATATGTATGTATATACATATACATACATATATATACACATACATATGTATATGTATATATTAAATATATATATATAATATAATATATATATATATATATATATATATATATATATATATATATATATATATATATATAATATGTATATAATATATATACTATATATATATATATATATATATATATATATATATATATATATATATATATATATATATATATATATATATATATATATATATATGAAATATGAAAACATGAAAATACAGGCCTATATCAGACTGCAAATAAACAACCTGAATTATAGCCTTAAAGGAAATGTAGTGTGTATGTGCATCATACGTAAAGTGCATATGGTATACCACACACACACACACACACACATAGATGGATAGATAGAGGGAGAGATAATTATTATCATACAAGGGATGCAATAACGACGATGATAATAATAGTAATAATCACCATATCAGTTCTCGCCGTTTATGCATGAACGGTTTTCACATGACGAAATGTACACGAAATGATCCGTCCGCACATGGAAGAGTGGAAACATGACGAAATGCCATGCGCACACGGCCCAGATGTGCACATGACGAAATGCACACGTGGGGCGGCAGGAAAGCCTTTGGGACAAGCATAACTTCCGCTCCTTTGAAAAGGCGACAATATGGCTCTTCCTCCTCACCCTCGCTCTCGTCAACAGCCGCGCGCTCTCTCTTTAACGTTCTGTCTGTCTGTCTGCCCCCCCCCCCCCCCATCTCTCTCTCTCTTTAACGTTCTGTTTGTCTGTCTGACCCCCCCCCCCCATCTCTCTCTTTAACGTTCTGTCTGTCTGTCTGCCCCCCCCCCCATCTCTCTCTCTCTTTAACGTTCTGTCTGTCTGTCTGACCCCCCCCATCTCTCTCTTTAACGTTCTGTCTGTCTGTCTGCCCCCCCCCCCCCATCTCTCTCTCTCTTTAACGTTCTGTCTGTCTGTCTGACCCCCCCCCCCCCCCATCTCTCTCTTTAACGTTCTGTCTGTCTGTCTGACCCCCCCCCCCCATCTCTCTCTTTAACGTTCTGTCTGTCTGTCTGACCCCCCCCCATCTCTCTCTCTCTCTCTCTCTTTAACGTTCTGTCTGTCTGTGATCCCCCCCCCATCTCTCTCTCTCTCTCTCTCTTTAACGTTCTGTCTGTCTGACCCCACCCCCATTCTCTCCCTCCCTCCCTCCCTCTCTCGCTCTCCTTCTCTCTCTGTCTCTCTCTCTCTCTCTACCTCTCTCCCTCCCGCTCGTTCTATGTCTCTGCCTCTCCCAAAAGACCCCAAAGGCCCCTGCAGATCCCCAAAGTCTCCAACAAAACCCAAAGACGCTTCCGATGAGCCAAAGAGACCTCGGCAGACACTAGGAACCCCAACGGACGCATCCAAAACCCCAACAGAGCCCCAAAGAAGACCGCGGAGACCCCAGCGAATCCCCAGGAGGCCCCAAAAGACACCACCAGCTTTGTCTTGGGTGGGGGGGGAGGGGGGGGAGTTCGATCAGCTCCTGGGGCGCTGCGAGACCCTTCGGGATTCTTTTGATGAACTATCCAAGGGTCATTTTAAAGCTACGACCAGCGCTGCAGAAGAGCAATTTAGGCGAAACAGATCGAAGGAGTGTGGCCCTTGGGGAGGGGGGGGGGGCAAGGTAGACCTTGAAGGGTGCAATTGCACTCCCCCCCCCCCCAATGTTGCCCCTGGCCAAGACAGCGGGTCTGGAGAACGACTGCTGCCTCCAGGACACGACCCTCGCGGACGACCGTTATCATCCCCCCCCCTTTATCGCTGTTGCTGCTTTTATCATCACGGTATTTGGGTGTTTTCGCTGCGTCGATTTGCATGTGTGTGTGTTTGTGTGTGTATTGTGTTTGTATGTGTATTGCGTTTGTGTGTGTTTTGTGTTTGTATGTGTATTGCGTTTGTGTGTGTATAGTGTTTGTATGTGTATGTGTGTGTGTGTTTGTGTGTGTATTGTGTTTGTGTGTGTATTGCGTTTGTGTGTGTAGTGTGTTTGTATGTGTATGTGTGTGTGTGTTTGTGAGTGTATTGTGTTTGTATGTGTATGTGTGTGTTTTTGTGTGTGTATTGTGTTTGTATGTGTATGTGTGTGTGTTTATGCGTGTATTGTGTTTGTATGTGTGTGTGTGTTTGTGTGTGTATTGTGTTTGTATGTGTGTGTGTGTTTGTGTGTGTCGGTGTATGTGTATATGTGTGTGTGTGTGTGTGTGTGTGTGTGTGTGTGTGTGTGTGTATGTGTGTGTGTTTGTGTGTGTGTGTGTTTCTATGTGTTTGTGTTTGCTTGTTTGAATGTCCTTGATTTTGTTTATGTTTATATCGGTCTGTTCTTGAAAAAAAAAGGAGTGGGAAGGGACTAGGGACAGGAGGGAGGGATAATAATGATAAAGACGATAACATCAACATAATGATGATGATAATAATA